ATAAAGACAGAGATCACTCTATAAAAAGACAGTAACACTATCATAGTAGGGGACTTAACACCCCGTTGTCACCAATGAACAGATCCTCCAAATAGAAAATCAACACGGAAACAGTGGCCTTAAATGATGCTTTAGACCAACTGAATTTAACTGATATTTTTAGAGTATTTCACCCAAAAGCAACAGAATATACATTATTCTCAAGTGCACATGGAACATTTTCCAAGACAGACCACATGTTAGGCCACAAAACAAGTCTCAATAAATTTAAGAAGAAAATAAATAAATAAATAAATAAATAAATAAATATATTTAGCACAATTAGCACGTCTGTTATTTTAAATCTAATCAAGGACATCGCAAAAATAAAAAACTACAAAATCATCTCCTTAAAAAATATAGCCAGTGACACTGCCCTCTACAGCTAAGATGCTGAACAACAGCTCAACCTGGAGCTGGGCTGCCATGAGTCGCCTGCAACGATGTAGGCTGCAGCCCCTGCTGCAGTGGGTTGCCATGGGCTACCGTGTGTAGCCAGCAGCCAGCGTGAGCAGCCAGCAGCCGCACTTGAGCGGCAGTTCAGAGGCCGGCAACTGATCTGTCTTGCCTGGGAAGAGCGCAATGATGGTACCAACTTGGGCCAGTGAAGCAACGTCCTCCACAACTAGACTGAAGAACAAAACGACAGCAACTGTCTGTTCCCCTTCCCCCAATTCCGCAATGCTGTTCCCATCCCCCAATTCCCCAATTAAAAAAAAAAAAATAGATGCAGGCCGGCCGAGTGGCTCAGTTGGTTAAGAGTTGGCCTAAGAGCGCTGTCTCTGAGCAACAGGGCCGCCCATTTGATGCCTACATGGGCCAGTGACGCTGCACCTGAGCTGAGCTGTCATTTAGCTGTCAACAAGTAGAAGGATGGCACAGCTGGTGTAATAATAAGATTGCCTGTTTAATGGTGGGCTATGCCCACCCGCAACTAAGAGTGAACTCAGCACCTTGAGCTGAGCTGCCGCCTGGATGGCTCAGTGGATAAAGCGTGTGCTCTTAACAACAAGGCTGCTGGTTCGACTACCGCATGGGATGGTGGCTATGCCCACCCGCAACTAAGATTGAACACAGTACCTTGAGCTTAGAGGCTACGAGCTGCTGACGGGAAGCCAGATGGCAACTGGCATCCTCCACAACGAAGATTGAAGAACAACTTGGCTGGTCCCCTTCCCCAAATCCCCAACACTGTTCCCCTTCCCCAATTCCCAATATTAAAAAAAAAAATACAGGTGCACAAATCTTGAAATAACAAATGAAACCTAAAAATATAACTAAAAGAATAATGTACCAAAATCAAAGTTATTCCAAACTGGAAAGATGGTTCTGTATTAGAGGATGGGGAGCACTATCAGCATCATTTATTCTGAATTAAGAGAAAATTGTTATGGTTATAGTAATAAATGTGAAAAATAATAGTAAAATATAGAAGCCCTTCCACACTAAACAAACTTGAGGGTAGGGATAGGGGAGAAAATGTCCGACCTAGTGACAACACTATGGAAAAGGACTAGTTCTTCCAGTTGTGCTTAATTCTATAACATGATCATTAAAATCCCTCCCCCTGATCTTACCTTTGGAACCAAAAGCAAAATCCCCAGAATTACTGGAAGCCAAGTCTGCAAATGACAGCCCTGTGCTACTTCCAAATCCAAATGAAATTGTTTTGCTTTCCACTGGCAAAGAAAAAAGAACCATTTAGTATTTCATTTAATATACATTAAATATCAAAGTTTTATTCGGGACCCAGAGACAATGGGGGCAGGACCTTTTAGACTGCCGAGGGGTTTGGGAATCAGGTGTGGAACCTTTTATCTTCTGGTTATTTCTCTGAAAAGCTACAAAATAGAGCCAATTCTGAGCTTCTTCTGTATTGTAAATTGACAGGTACTATTCTCAATGAATACTATACCAACACAGTTTCTACTTTATGGTGTCTTCAATGATCGAACACATTCATTTAAAGGCAGAAATTTAGGAAACATTTTCATAAAGACCTTTTTTTTTTTCCTATTAAAAATGGCAAGCTCATAATGTCTTATGTTTTGTCGCCGGGAGTTTTGGAGTATTGTCTTAATTCTGCCAATGTGCAACTAGCTGCGTGATCTCTTAAAATCCTATGCCTTACTTTCCTCATCTGAAAAACGTAATTTTAGGTCTGAAGTTACCTTCTTTTTTTAGCATATTAAGACTCTGAAGTGCCTATAAATGTATTTATAAATTTGTTATTCAGGACTACTTTTGAAAAAATTAGGTAACACAGACAATGAACATATATAAAGCAATATAACTAAGATTCCCCCCTCCTAGGATCAATTAGAATGAAAAAAAGAGAAAAGCGTATCCAATATTAGTTACTATAACTTAGTACTTAATTTAATGGAGCAGATAGAGAAAATGGAAGACATTCAAGTACAGCTGACCCTCAAACGACTTAGAGGGGTTAGAGGTGCCAACCCACCACCCATATAGTAAAATATCCAAGTACAATTTTTGACTCCCCAAAAACTCAACTACTAATAGTCTACTATTGACCAGAAGTTAATTAACACATATGCTGTGTAAGTATATGTGTGTAACACATATACTGTGTTCTTACAAAAAGTAAGCTAGAGAAAAGAAAATGTTATTAAGAAAATCGTAAGAGAAAATCCATTTACAGTATTTATTGGAAAAAATCCATGTAGAAGTGGACCCATGCAGTTCAAACACATAGTTCAAAGGTCAACTGCAGTATCACAAACATTTAACAACGGTATTGTAATATTTCTACAATTACTTCATATATACTTGAAATAATTTTAATGTACTTGATAATGTAATTCAAACAATACAGTATTCCCCTTTATATACAGTTTTGCTTTCCACAGTTTCAGTTAACCATAGTCAACTGTTGTCCAAAAATATTAAATGGAAAATTACAGAAATAAACAATTCATAAATTTTAAATTGAGAGCTGTTCTGAGTATTGTGATATAACCTCAAGACGTCCCACTCCGTCCCATACGGGACATGAATCATCCCTTTGTCCCACATATCCTTGCTGTACAGGGTACCTGCCCTTAGTCACTTAGTAGTAGCCATCTCGTTATCAGAGCGAGGGAAAGAAAGATTACATAACTTTTATTACAGTATATTGTTATAATTGTTCTATTTTATTATTATTGTTGTTAACCTCTGACTAATATATAAATTAAACTTTATTATAGGCCTGTATAGCCGGCCCTGTATCCACAGGTTCTGCATCATCTGTGAATTCAACCAACCTCAAGTAGAAAATATTCAACAAAAGAATTTTACATTGTTGCTGACATGTACTAAGTAGTCAGGCCTACAATGGTTACTTTGTACAAAATGTTTACAGACTTTTTTCCCTTGTCATTATTTTCTAGACAATACAGTATATCAACTATTTACATAGCATTTATATTGCATTAGGTATTATGAGTAATCTCAAAATGATTTAAAGTATACAAGAGGATATGCTTAGGTTGTATAGAAACGCTATGCCATTTTATATAAGGGGCTTGAGCATCTGCAAATGTTGGTATCCATGGTGGGTACTGGAACCATTCCCCCACAGATACTGAGGGATGACTGCTTCTCTAGGAAAAAACAGTATATACAGGGTTCAGTACTATCTGCAATTTCAGGCATCCACTGGAGGTCTTAAAATATATCCCCAGCCAATAATGGGGGACTACTGTATTCAAATAAAAATATTATCACAAAGAAAATTTCCATGTGTGCAAACTTGTCATTTATTCTCAGGTAGCTAGGTCAGAGTCACAATGGTTTGTATTCCCTAATAACTACAACTCTAACAATAAAAATACTTGTTTATTATCTTTTGGCAAGGCAGTATAATTTTCTGATTATTATTACAAATATCTTATGCCCTTTAATAGTACATTTCAAAATATGTTTTACGAAAGTTTTTAAGATATACACTTAAAAGTCTATCTTTTCAAACATACAGGTGTACCTTACGGAATGTATGCCTAGAAGGTTTTCGTAAACATATATCAAATTTACCTTGGCTTATAGAATCTGCATCATCTTCCTTTCTAGTAGACAAATCTACAGGTTTGTCCACAGTTCCAGAAGAAATAGGTGGTAAGCTAACAGATTTGGAACTAAAATCAGATTCTTCAGATTTACATAACAATGGCACGGTCTCTTCAGTACCACCTGTACACACACTGTCGGCCGTGGTAGTTATTTCATCATTCTGGAATTTCTGCAAAGAGAAAGTAACAGATAACTGCCATTAAATACTGACTGACAAAAAGGGTCATATGCCCTATTTTAAAACAAATCAAGAATTTGGAGTTCTAGACAAAATTGAGTAGCACACTTCACCTTTTTCCCATTCTACATTGCATCCTCTCTCTACCAACACCTACAACTGAATTGAACTGAAACAGATAAAGCAAGAATAAGAAGACCCTGGGCAGCGGTGGCTCAGTTGGTTGGAGTGCGAGCTCTGAGCAACAGGGTTGCCGGTTGGATTCCCACACAGGCCAGCGAGCTGCGCCCTCCGCAACTAGACTGAAGACAACTTGAGCTCAGCTACTGCTGAGCTGCCGGTGGGTGGCCAGATGGCTCAGTTGGTTGGAGTGCATGCTCTTAGCATCAGAGTTACTGGTTCGACTCCCGCATGGGATAGTGGGCTGCGCGCCCCGCAACTAGATTGAAAATGGCTACTGGACTTGGAGCTGAGCTGTGCCCTCCACAACTAAGATTGAAGGACAGCCTCTTGACTTGGAGTTGATGACGGGTCCTGGGAGGAACACACTGTTCCCCAATAGAGTTAAAAAACAAAACAAAAAACTTCCTTCTCAAAAGTCTTCCCAAATTCTTAAAAAAAAGAAGCCCCTGAAAGGTGGATGAAAGCAGGATTAAGAATCTCAAACCTTGAGGGATAATCTGGCAGTGAGAGCCTTGTGGGAGATTTTCTCCCCGCACCCACCCTGCCCCAAATCCCAGCAGGTTGCTAGAGCAGCCCAGAAAATTGAAGGTGTCCATGGCACAGATGGAAAAAGTCCCACAAAAAGCCAATTCTCTGGTCATGGAAGGGAGATATCATGAAATGATCCATGTGTTCAATGATAAAAAGACTTTTAAAACTCCAAGAGGTAAGAACAAATACTCTTAAAACTAATTAAACGACAGAGTTCTCAGCAGAAAAACCGGAAGTTATAAAAACAGAATCAAATGGGAATTTTACAACAGAAAAATAAAATAACAGAAATTAAAAAGTTTATAGCAACAGAATACATATTCCTCTCAAGTTCATATGGAACATTTACCAAGAACTACCATATTCTGGGCCATGGAACACAGCTCAACAAATTCAAAAGAACAGAAATCATACAAAGTATACTCTGTTGGGCCGGCTGAGTGGCTCAGTTGGTTAAGAGCTCGCTCAAGAGTTTGAGCTCTGAGCAACAGCGGTTCGAGTCAGCCTGAGCTGAGCAGCCGT